GATGAGGGTAGTGGTCAGTGGGATGGGGGTAGTGATAAGTGGGATGGGGGTAGTGGTCAGTGGGATGGGGGTAGTGGTCAGTGGGATGGGGATAGTGGTCAGTGGGATGGGGGTAGTGGTCAGTGGGATGGGGGTAGTGATAAGTGGGATGGGGGTAGAGATCAGTGGGATGGTGGTAGTGGTCAGTGGGATGGGGGTAGTGGTCAGTGGGATGAGGGTATTGGTAGTGTGATGAGGGTAGTGGTCAGTGGGATGGCAGTAGTGGTCAGTGGGATGGGGGTAGTGGTCAGTGGGATGGGGGTAGTAGTCAGTGGGATGAGGGTAGTGGTAGTGGGATGGGGGTAGTGGTCAGTGGGATGGGGGTAGTGGTCAGTGGGATGAGGGTAGTGGTAGTGTGATGGGGTAGTGGTCAGTGGGATAGGGATAGTGGTCAGTGCAATGGTGGTATTGGTCAGTGCGATGGTGGTATTGGTCAGTGTGATGAGGGTAGTGGTCAATGGGATGGGGGTAGTGGTCAGTGGGATGGAGGTATGACTCCATTAAAGGTGAAGAAAGTTCTTATGTCCATTGATACCACTGGTTACTATTCCACCACGTGACTATAAACACACCGCACTCGCTGGATCCTATTGACCCCCGTGTTCTCACACAAGTCACATTGCACTTTGCGGCTAACAAAGGACGTGGTTGGATCTCCTCTTCAGCACTTCGTTCTCCTGTCTCCTCACCAGCTGGCCAAACAAGACTTCAGTGGCTCAGATGACACGGAATCCTCTCATTGTGTGTAGAAGATTTGTTATATATAAGAATTATTCCCAGAAACAAATATCTGACTGTGAGGACGATCTCTCATCCTGGAAGCCGCCGACTCATCCACGTGCTTTTGTCACTCACCCCGTGTTATTTAGGTGCCATTGAACTGAGTGGCGCCTGACCACGGAATGTGCGTTTTCAAATAATGGACATCATCGATAAAAATCTGAATTGTGTTTTCTAAGTTCTGGTGCCGGGATTAGTGAAGGAAGATTGGGGGAGTGGTGGGAGCGGTGTCAGATGTAATCACGGCGGGGAATGATGGCGCACCGGGAGACGTGTCAGATGTAGTCACGGCGGGGAATGATGGCGCACCGGGTGACGCATCGGTTGCAGTCACGGCGGGGAATGATGGCGCACCGGGAGACGTGTCAGATGCAGTCACGGTGGGGAATGATGGCGCACCGGGAGACGTGTCAGATGCAGTCACGGCGGGGAATGATGGCGCACCGGGAGACGTGTCAGATGTAGTCACGGCGGGGAATGATGGCGCACCGGGAGACGTGTCAGATGTAGTCACGGCGGGGAATGATGGCGCACCGGGAGACGTGTCAGATGTAGTCACGGCGGGGAATGATGGCGCACCGGGAGACGTGTCAGATGTAGTCACGGCGGGGAATGATGGCGCACCGGGTGACGCGTCGGTTGCAGTCACGGCGGGGAATGATGGCGCACCGGGAGACGTGTCAGATGCAGTCACGGTGGGGAATGATGGCGCACCGGGAGACGTGTCAGATGCAGTCACGGCGGGGAATGATGGCGCACCGGGAGACGTGTCAGATGCAGTCACGGCGGGGAATGATGGCGCACCGGGAGACGTGTCAGATGTAGTCACGGCGGGGAATGATGGCGCACCGGGAGACGTGTCAGATGTAGTCACGGCGGGGAATGATGGCGCACCGGGAGACGTGTCAGATGTAGTCACGGCGGGGAATGATGGCGCACCGGGTGACGCGTCGGTTGCAGTCACGGCGGGGAATGATGGCGCACCGGGTGACGCGTCGGTTGCAGTCACGGCGGGGAATGATGGCGCACCGGGTGACGCGTCGGTTGCAGTCACGGCGGGGAATGATGGCGCACCGGGAGACGCGTCGGTTGCAGTCACGGCGGGGAATGATGGCGCACCGGGAGACGCGTCGGTTGCAGTCACGGCGGGGAATGATGGCGCTCCGGGAGACGTGTCAGATGTAGTCACGGCCGGGAATGATGGCGCATCGGGAGACGTGTCAGATGTAGTCACGGCGGGGAATGATGGCGCATTGGGAGATGCGTTGGTTGCGGTCACGGCGGGGAATGATGGCGCACCGGGTGACGCATCGGTTGCAGTCACGGCGGGGAATGATGGCGCATGGGGACACGTGTCGGTTGCAGTCACGGCGGGGAATGATGGCGCACCGGGAGACGTGTCGGTTGCAGTCACGGCGGGGAATGATGGCGCACGGGGACACATGTCGGTTGCGGTCACGGCGGGGAATGATGGCGCACCGGGAGACGTGTCGGTTGCGGTCACGGCGGGGAATGATGGCGCACCGGGACACGTGTCGGTTGCGGTCACGGCAGGGAATGATGGCGCCCCGGGAGACATGTCGGTTGCGGTCACGGCGGGGAATGATGGCGCACCGGGAGACGTGTCAGTTGCAGTCACGGCGGGGAATGATGGCGCACCGGGAGACGTGTCGGTTGTAGTCACGGCGGGGAATGATGGCGCACCGGGTGACGTGTCGGTTGCGGTCACGGCGGGGAATGATGGCGCACCGGGAGACATGTCGGTTGCGGTCACGGCGGGGAATGATGGCGCACCGGGAGACGTGTCAGTTGCAGTCACGGCGGGGAATGATGGCGCACCGGGAGACGTGTCGGTTGCGGTCACGGCAGGGAATGATGGCGCACCGGGAGACGTGTCGGTTGCGGTCACGGCGGGGAATGATGGCGCACCGGGACACGTGTCGGTTGCAGTCACGGCGGGGAATGATGGCGCACCGGGAGACGTGTCGGTTGCGGTCACGGCGGGGAATGATGGCGCACCGGGACACGTCTCCGTGGTGTGGAGGGATGAAGGCGATTCTCCGGCCGGCACATGAATGGCGAGGATTTTCTTTTCTCTCCGCTGACACCATAGGAGTCTGAATGAGGCGAGATTACATGTGTTATCATTTCATCGCCCCCCCCCCCCGCCGACCCCAGACTCTTCATCCTCCTCTCCGCGTCTCCCTGGTGGCGAAGAGTTTACTGAGAGACAAGAGAGCAGACGCTTCATTTCCTGAGGGATTAATGTCGGTACACAGAGCCGAGGAGACCCCTCACCCCCCGGATTTCACAGATTAAAGAGGCATTTAAACCCGGCTCACATCACTAATCCTGACACTTTCCTCCGCCGCAAACAATCCGCCGCGCCTCCCGACCAGCAAACATAATAAAAGCCGCTGTAAACTTTACCTAGGATTTCCCTCCGCCGTCCGCCAACAACCAATCCGATCTCGGAATGTCGGCGTGTACACAGGGGGCCCAGAAAACGGGAGGATATTACAGGCGCCACATCCCATAATACCCAAAAACAAACTGTATCCACCTGACGCCTCCCACGGCAACACAGCCAGCAGGTGCCACGGGCGCAAAACGCACGGCGAGGCTTTGTGTTCATTTCTACGGAAATCACTTCTCATCCCAACAGAAAATGTCACCACCGGCGTCATGGAGACAAATCCCCGAAAATCCCCCAAATATCATCCGAGAGAAATACAGGATCCGAACATCGATACAAAGTATACAAATCAGACACATCATTATACGTTGTATATCTCTGACCTATACCGCAGCGCTGTACAGAGATCACTGAGCCAGGAGCTTACACTCTAATGTCCCCTCCCCCACAGTCCCATCAGTCTCTGTACAGAGATCACTGAGCCAGTCCCATCAGTCTGTGTACAGAGGAGCTGACACTCTAATGTCCCCTCCCCCGCAGTCCCATCAGTCTGTGTACACAGGAGCTGACACTCTAATGTCCCCTCCCCCACAGTCCCATCAGTCTGTGTACACAGGAGCTGACACTCTAATGTCCCCTCCCCCACAGTCCCATCAGTCTGTGTACACAGGAGCTGACACTCTAATGTCCCCTCCCCCACAGTCCCATCAGTCTGTGTACACAGGAGCTGACACTCTAATGTCCCCTCCCCCGCACTCCCATCAATCTCTGTACAGAGGAGCTTACACTCTCATGTCCCCTCCCCCACAGTCCCATCAATCTCTGTACAGAGGAGCTTACACTCTAATGTCCCCTCCCCCACAGTCCCATCAGTCTGTGTACAGAGGAGCTGACACTCTAATGTCCCCTCCCCCGCAGTCCCATCAGCCTCTGTACCAGAGGAGCTTACGCTCTAATGTCCCCTCCCCCGCAGTCACATCAGTCTCTGTACCAGAGGAGCTTACACTCTAACGTCCCCTCCCCCGCAGTCCCATCAGTCTGTGTACCAGAGGAGCTGACACTCTAATGTCCCCTCCCCCGCAGTTCCATCAGTCTGTACAGAGGAGCTTACACTCTCATGTCCCCTCCCCCACAGTCCCATCAGTCTCTGTACAGAGGAGCTTACACTCAGTATTTGGGGTGAAGGGGGGGATTTAGATGTAGAGAAGGGTGACGCAGGCGCTGTGATTGGACGCGGTCGGTCTGCTGGGACCTGGTCATGGATCGTATCGCTCACAGCAGCTGTCACGTTGTACGTAGATCATGCTGCAGAGGTCAGCGGTGACTTGATAAGCAAGCGCCAAGTGTTGATAGCGGCGTTCTTCGTATGGTGGTGTTGGTGGGTCAGGTGACTGGACAGGAATATCACAGATAAAGCGATGTGATTGGTGGAGAGACTCGGGAATGTGCGCGGCGGGCGGATACGTGACACTCATAGTAATAAAAGCGGCAGAATTCTGGAGAGATTGGAGTTGCAGCCAATGAAATGCGACGTGACGGATCTGGAGAGGCGATAGATAAATCCCGATGACAGCGCTCCTCGCCGGAGATACTACACCGTAATATGTGTCCAGAGAATAAATCTCTACTACTGCGAACCTGCAGACAGGAATACAAATCCATCCACCCCCACAGTGTCATGGGATTAAAGGGGAACCCTACCCAACGGGGTGCAAACACTGACCGGGGGAGGGGTGCTTCTCTGGGGGTCAATCGCAATTCCAGCATACATTCTATTGCCCAAAGTATTGCCCCCAACCCTTCTCCATATCATGTGATTCAGGTGTTCCAATCCCCTCCATATCATGTGATTCAGGTGTTCCAATCCCCTCCATATCATGTGATTCAGGTGTTCCAATCCCCTCCCAATCATGTGATTCAGGTGTCCCAATCCCCTCCCAATCATGTGATTCAGGTGTTCTAATCCCCTCCATATCATGTGATTCAGGTGTTCCAATCCCCTCCCAATCGTGTGATTCAGGTGTTCCAATCCCCTCCCAATCATGTGACTCAGGTGTTCAAATCCCTTCCATATCATGTGATTCAGGTGTTCCAATCCCCTCCATATCATGTGATTCAGGTGTTCCAATCCCCTCACAATCATGTGATTCAGGTGTTCCAATCCCCTCCATATCATGTGATTCAGGTGTCCCAATCCCCTCCCAATCATGTGATTCAGGTGTTCCAATCCCCTCCCAATCATGTGATTCAGGTGTTCCAATCCCCTCCACATCATGTGATTCAGGTGTTCCAATCCCCTCCATATCATGTGATTCAGGTGTTCCAATCCCCTCCATATCATGTGATTCAGGTGTTCCAATCCCCTCCATGGACACAGGTGTATACAATCAAGCCCCTAGGCATGCAGACGGCTTCTACAAACATTGGTGAAAGAATGGGTCGCTCTCAGGAGCTCAGTGACTCCAAGCGTGGTCCCGTGATAGGTGGCCACCTGGGCAATAAGTCCATCCGTGACATTTCCTGGCTACTAAATATTCCACGCTCAACTGTTAGTGGGATTATAACAAAGTGGAAGCCACTGGGAACAACAGCCACTCAGCCACCAAGTGGTAGGCCACGTCACATGACAGGGCGGGGTCAGCGCATGCTGAAGCGCACAGTGCGCAGAAGTCGCCAACTGTCTGCAGAGTCAATAGCTAAAGACCTCCAAACTTGGTGTGGCCTTCAGATGAGCCCAACAACAGTGTGTAGAGAGCTTCATGGAATGGGTTTCCATGGCCGAGCAGCTGCATCCAAGCCTTCCATCACCAAGTGCAATGCAAAGCGTCGGATGCCGTGGTGTAAAGCACGCCGCCACTGGACTCTAGAGCAGAGGGGGCGTGTTCTCTGGAGTGACCAATCACGCTTCTCTGTCTGGCAATCCGATGGACGTGTCTGGGTTTGGCGGTGGCCAGGAGAACGGTACTTGCCTGACTGCATTGTGCCAAGTGTAAAGTTTGGTGGAGGGGGGAGTACGGTGTTTGGGTGTTTCTCAGGGGTTGGGCTTGGCCCCCTAGTTCCAATGAAGGGAACTCTTAAGGTGACATTTTGGACAATTTCATTCCCCCAACATTGTGGGAGGAGTTTTGGGGATGGCCCCTTCCTGTTCCAACATGACTGCCCCCCAGTGCACACAGCAAGGTCCATAAAGACATGGAGGAGCCAGTTTGGGGTGGAGGAACTTGACTGTCCTGCACAGAGTCCTGACCTCAACCCCATAGAACACCTTTGGGATGAATTAGAGCGGAGACTGCGAGCCAGGCCCCCTCCCCCGACATCAGTGCCCCTCCCCCGACATCAGTGCCCCTCCCCCGACATCAGTGCCCCTCCCCCGACATCAGTGCCTGACCTGACAAATGTGCTTCTGGAAGAATGGTCCAACCTTCCCATAGACACCCTCCTAAACCTTGTGGACGGCCTTCCCAGAAGAGTTGAAGCTGTTATAGCTGCAAAGGGCGGGGCCAACCCAATATTGAACCCTACGGACTAAGACTGGGGGGGCCATTAAAGATCATGTGTGTGGAAAGGGCGGGGGCCAACTCAATATTGAACCCTACGGACTAAGACTGGGGGGGCCATTAAAGGTCATGTGCGTGGAAAGGGCGGGGCCAACTCAATATTGAACCCTACGGACTAAGACTGGGGGCCATGAAAGATCATGTGTGTGGAAAGGGCGGGGCCAACTCAATATTGAACCCTACGGACTAAGACTGGGGGGCCATTAAAGGTCATGTGCGTGCAAAGGGTGGGGCCAACTCAATATTGAACCCTACGGACTAAGACTGGGGGGCCATTAAAAGTAATGTGCGTGGAAAGGGCGAGGCCAACTCAATATTGAACCCTACAGACTAAGACTGGGGGCCATTAAAGGTCATGTGTGTGGAAAGGGCGGGGCCAACTCAATATTGAACCCTACGGACTAAGGCTGGGAGGCCATTAAAGGTCATGTGCATGGAAAGGGCGGGGTCAACTCAATATTGAACCCCACGGACTGAGACTGGGGGCCATTAAAGGTCATGTGCAGGGAAAGGGCGGGGCCAACTCAATATTGAACCCTACGGACTGAGACTGGGGGGCCATCAAAGGTCATGTGTGGGGAAAGGCCAGCGGCCCAATACTCGGGGCAATATGGTGTATATATGGGGGGGGGGGACAATTCTTGGAGCAATATAGAGTATATGATACATATGATGCAGTTTTCTTATATGGGGGCGGGGCTGAGAAGCCCCCTATTTTATAGTGGGGTGCGGGTGACAGGTTCTCTTTGAGGAGACATGGGGGTCTGGTACACGGTCTCTTGAAGCACATTATACCCAATCAGCTTCTTCCTGCAGAGATGGACAGCTGTGAACCCGGAGTGGTGATAGCTGAGCGTTTCCAGGTTCACTCTCTCCATCCTGACAGCCACCATGGAGGTTTCTGGGCACTCAGGAGGGACGGGGAGCCGGGACATGAGGGGGTTCAGCACTCACATGTAGAGGTGATCAGACAGCTTTGCAGCCCCCGAATCACTGCAAGAGATCAGTCAGCAGTCAGGAGAAAACAAATTCCTGGCTGCTACAGCGGCGGCACTGCCCCATAATAGTGATGGCGGGGGAGGCAAAAGGTCCAAATATCTTCCCTCGGGGGGAGTTCGGCTAAAATGGACCTACCCCTCTGAAGTGACCATCATTCCCCCCCTCCCCCCCGTTACCCAATCAGATGAACTTATTTCAAATAAAAATAACTATCTTTTCAGCAAGTCGACCCCCCTCCCCCCCCCCCCCCCCACACACACTGCCAACATTATCACGCAGGGGAGAATGACACCCCCTAACCACCCAATGCCTGGTATACTGACTCCCCCCCCCCCATCACCCAATACCTGGGATTTTGACATCCCCCCATCACCCAATGCCTGGTATACTGACTCCCCCCCCCCCATCACCCAATACCTCCAATACCTGGGATTTTGACATCCCCCCATCACCCAATGCCTGGTATACTGACTCCCCCCCCCCCCCCCATCACCCAATACCTGGGATACTGACATCCCCCCATCACCCAATGCCTGGGATACTGACTCCCCCCCATCACCCAATACCTGGGATACTGACATCCCCCCATCACCCAATGCCTGGGATACTGACTCCCCCCCATCACCCAATACCTGGGATACTGACATCCCCCCCCATCACCCAATACCTGGGATACTGACATCCCCCCATCACCCAATACCTGGGATACTGACATCCCCCCCATCACCCAATACCTGGGATACTGACCCCCCCCCCCCCCCATCACCCAATGCCTGGGATACTGACATCCCCCCCATCACCCAATACCTGGGATACTGACCCCCCCCCCCATCACCCAATGCCTGGGATACTGACATCCCCCCCCATCACCCAATGCCTGGGATACTGACTCCCCCCCCATCACCCAATACCTGGGATACTGACACCCCCCCATCACCCAATACCTGGGATACTGACCCCCCCATTACCCAATGCCTAGGATACTGACATCCCCCCCATCACCCAATGCCTGGGATACTGACTCCCCCCCCCATCACCCAATACCTGGGATACTGACTCCCCCCATCACCCAATACCTGGGATACTGACACCCCCCCATCACCCAATACCTGGGATACTGACCCCCCCCCCCCCATCACCCAATTCCTGGGATACTGACATCCGCCCTATCACCCAATACCTGGGATACTGACCCTCCCCCCATCACCCAATGCCTGGGATACTGACACCCCCCCAATCACCCAATGCCTGGGATACTGCCCCCCCATTACCCAATGCCTGGGATTCTGACATCCCCCTCATCACCCAATACCTGGGATACTGACCCCCCCATTACCCAATGCCTGGGATACTGACACCCCCCATCACCCAATGCCTGAGATACTGACATCCCCCCCATCACCCAATGCCTGGGACACTGACCCCCCCATCACCCAATACCTGGGACACTGACCCCCCCCATTACCCAATGCCTGGGATACTAACATCCCCCCATCACCCAATGCCTGGGACACTGACCCCCCCATTACCCAATACCTGGGACACTGACCCCCCCATCACCCAATACCTGGGACACTGACCCCCCCATCACCCAATACCTGGGACACTGACCCCCCCATTACCCAATGCCTGGGATACTAACATCCCCCCATCACCCAATGCCTGGGACACTGACCCCCCATTACCCAATACCTGGGACACTGACCCCCCCATCACCCAATACCTGGGACACTGACCCCCCCATTACCCAATGCCTGGGATACTAACATCCCCCCATCACCCAATGCCTGGGACACTGACCCCCCCATTACCCAATGCCTGGGATACTAACATCCCCCCATCACCCAATGCCTGGGACACTGACCCCCCCATTACCCAATGCCTGGGATACTAACATCCCCCCATCACCCAATGCCTGGGACACTGACCCCCCCATTACCCAATACCTGGGACACTGACCCCCCCATTACCCAATGCCTGGGATACTGACCCCCCACCTGATGCCAAAGGAAATGACATCACATGAGGGGGTGTGCCATGATGCATCATCAGGGGTCAGATGTGAACATCTGGAGGAGACAGCCGCCTCCTGATGACATCAGAAGTGAAGATGGTGGCATGGGAGCTGGCGGGAGGGAGAGCGCGGGATTGGCCGGGAGGGTGAAGATGTCCTCTATATTATTCTGTATTTGGAATTGTTGGCGCTGTCCGAGTGTGGCCCCGAGGGCCGGGAGCCTGTACTGGGGGGTTGATGGCGGAGGGATGGTCGATATTAATATTTCATCGCACGCTTCTCTCCGGAGATCCGATTATTTATTATCATCTATCGTCGGCGGGAAGACACAAATTAGCGCCCCCCTCCCCCTCCCCCGGCCGGAGTAATTGAGAGAGGAATAAACGCTCGCCGCTCCCCTGTGACCGCCGCTGATTACATTATAATCACATCGGATTAATTAATCTATAATATTTGTACTTTATATGAGAGAATGAAATGAGCCCTCGCCATAAAGGTTACCGCCGAGCGCTGCGTCTGCCAGTCCGGGGCCACCCTCACACCACGGGGGCCAATTATCAGCATCCGCAAATATTCTGAGATAAGGCGGGGCAAAGAGGCGGGGCAACGCGTCTCACCATGATAACCGAAAACGCAATTCACTCGCTCAGAGGAACTCCAACCGAATCAAATGTTCGCTCATCGCGACCGGCGTTTTATATCGAGGCGGAGCACAGAAAACTCCGCCCTGTTCCGGGACTGGCGTTTTATATCGAGGCGGAGCACAGAAAACTCCACCCTGTACCGGGACTGGCGTTTTATATCGAGGCGGAGCACAGAAAACTCCACCCTGTACCGGGACTGGCGTTTTATATCGAGGCGGAGCACAGAAAACCCCGCCCTGTTCCGGGACTGGCATTTTACATCGAGGCGGAGCACAGAAAAAACCCCGCCCTGTTCCGGGACTGGCGTTTTATATCGAGGCAGAGCACAGAAAACTCCGCCCTGTATCGGGACTGGCGTTTTATATCAAGGCGGAGCACAGAAAAACTCCACCCTGTATCGGGACTGGCGTTTTATATCAAGGCGGAGCACAGAAAACTCCACCCTGTACCGGGACTGGCGTTTTATATCGAGGCGGAGCACAGAAAACCCCGCCCTGTATCGGGACTGGCGTTTTATATCGAGGCGGAGCACAGAAAACTCCGCCCTGTATCGGGACCGGCGTTT